AAGATCCAGAGGGTCATGGTCTTGGAGTGGTTCACGCGTGGCGCCCGTGTCCGCTTCTTCGGGACCAGGGGCAGCAAGGCCAGCGACGAGAAGCGCGAGCAGCCGTACGAGATGGTCGTTCGACGCACCGAGCTTCGACGGATCTGCCCTGCTCTGACACATGCCGAGCTCGACTACATCGCGCAGCGCGCGGGCATCGTCGGCTCGAACTACGAGCGCAGGAAGCAGGTCGTCTACGAGATGGCGTGGGTCCGGAGGGAGTTCTTCAGGTTGGCGACGCGCCCGAAACGGTCCTGGACGCAGCGGTCCGCCATGCAACCGGCAGGCCACTGGGGCGCGTAGTTCTAATTCGGATCGGAATTTACGAGGCTCCCACCTCGTCCCACGCGCCGGGGTCGTCGTCGTCGTCGTCGTCCAGGATGGCGGGGAGGAGGCCCTGCTCCGCGGGGGCGGGCATGTCGGGCCGCACGTCGGCGCCCATGCCCTCCTCGCCCCGGAGGATGCGGACCTGGGCGCAGTTCGGGTGCGCCTGGTTGCCCTCGACGCGGCGGTACTCGGCCATGTCGTCGGCGTGGTGGGCGATGTAGATCATCTCGCCGCAGAACTCGCACATGTACTGCGGCGAGGCGGTGCCGAGGCGCCACGCGGCCTCGGCGGCAAACGAGCCGGCGGTGATGCTGTCCATGTCCGTGCCGCTCATTTCGACGAGGTCGCTCGACGTCAGGTAGCGCTTCTCCCGCTCGGCGTCCTCCTTCTTCCACGCGTCCTTGTCCTCGTCCGTGAAGCCCGCGTTGAAGTCGCCGAAGGCGTCGTCGGTCGTCCGCTCGCCCGTCGTCGAAAGGGCCGGGTTGTCCACCATAAAATGCGTCCGCCAGCTGTAGAACCCGGCCTTCAGCCGCTCGGCCGACGTCCCGGGCCTCTGGCCGACGAGGTCGCGCGCCGTGATGACGATGACCCGGCGCTCCGTCCCGACGGAGCGGAGCGGAAGCGGGTAGCCGCGCGCCTTCGAGACGGGTGCCGGCGCCCGCTTGACGAGGAGCGTCAAGGCCGCCGTCGCCTCGACGAACCGCCACGCGGAGACGGTGGTCGGCTTGATGCGGAAGCCGCCGCGGTCGCCGAAGACGAAGTTGTGGAGCTGGATGAAGGCCCACGAGCGGGACATGTAGAAAATCACCTCGCAGGTCGTGGAGGTTTCTCCAAAAGCGACGCGGACGGCGACGGGCGCGACGCGCTCGTTCTCGAACGTCAGCGCCGCACGAGCGCGGAAGAGCGCGAGCGCCGCCGGCTCGTCGGGGCCCGTCAGCTGGACCTCAGGCGGCCGCGGCGGCGCGGCCGCAGCAGCTGGCCGCGAGCACGGGGCGAGGAGCCTGCTGGCGTTCCTCTCACCCGCAATCCGCGACAGTTCGCGTCGCCAGACCTTCGCAGCCGCGTACCGTCCAAGGTGCCGCGGGCGGCGCGTGCACTCGCCGTACTGGGCACGGTGGGCGCTCTTCAACGCCGCGATCTCCCGGTCCTCGTCGCAGTTGCCGGCGGCTAGGCCGAGGAGCACGGTGTGGTGGTGGGCCACGCGGCGCCGCAGGAGCACCATGTATTCCGGCGCGCGGGCGTCGACGTTGGCCGGGGCGACGCCTGCTTCGAGGAAGCGACGGAACTCGGCGACGGCCGGGCCGCCAAGGTAGCGTAGCGTCGGCGGCGCCGCGCCGAACAGTATCGTGTGTAGTCGCAGCAGCTCCATGGTGACGTAAGCCAGGTCGTACGCCCGCTGGCGCGCGTCCTCCACGTCCTCCGTGACGTAAGCCGCGCCGACCCTACCGTAGAGCTCGAGGAGCCTGCCCACGAGGCGCACGCGCGGGCCGTGGCGCTCGTCGTGGGGTATCATGGCGAGGATCACGTCGCTAAAAGGGAGCCAGCGCTGGAATGCGTGACGGGCAGCGTTCCCTCCTTGGTTGGACACCATGAGTCTCGACGTGTATTTTTTTGTCTTCAACTGGAGGTCGAACTTGATGGCGTCGCGCACGGCCTTGGCGACGGCAATGAAAGCGGGACCGGAGAGCTTGGCCCATGTGTTGATCGTCGTGAAGACGAAAGTGATGAATGCAGCGAATAGACGCCCCGCGAGGTGTAGAGCGCACCACGAGACCAGGCGAGCGTCGACGACGCCGTGGCCACTGATACCCGTGACGCCTTTCTCTTTGCCGTCGGCGGCGAGGCTGTTGACGAAGGCCAGATTGCCCTCGAGGTTGGACACGACGATGAAGCCCAAATTCCCGTCGTCGTCCGCGAGCTGGGCGAATCGTTTATCCCCCGTGTGCTTGGGTGCGTCGCGGTTCGGGGCAGATTTGAAATCCGCCGTGCCAATCAGCGCAAACTCAGCCATCATATCAACCACAAAGCCAAAGAACGAAAATTCCAGCACGTAGGTCCGGCCGTTCGCCGGATGGGTCACCGTGAATCGAAGCACAGAGCCACCCGTCAATGCAGTGAGCTCCGCGATGGGCTCCCTCAGCACGCCCGTCATCGTCGAGTTGTCGTCCTTGTGGTCGCGCGACGTCGACAGCGCCAGCGGAATCATCATCGTGTAGTGGTGGTTGGCTCGCTCGGCCTCGAGCACGTAGACGACGAGTGCCACGACGGAGCGCGATTTCGAGAGCATGTACGAGCCCGTCGTGTACTCTCCGGCGTCGACATTCGCGCACAGTCGGAATTGAAAGACGAGGCCCGCCGTGGCGTCCTCGAGGTCGATGCCCTCGGAAATCAGCGCGCGTTCCACGAGAAACATGACCTTGGACGGGTCCTTGAGCCAGTCGCCGAGGGCCAGCTCCAGCGACAGAATCGACGCGACGGATCCGCCGTCCTTCAGAGGTGTCTCCGTGCGCTTCGATCTCCACATGGACTCGAAATTTTCCTTCAATTCGTCGATCCGAACGTCGGTCTCCTCACGCTCGCGCTCGTCCGCAGCAGCGACCGGCTCGTCGTCGTCGCCGCCCGTGGCTCCGCCGTGCACGCCCGCGCCGCCCTGGCCCACCGTCGGGACCTCTTCATTGTCGTAGTTCGGCACATAGGCGCACGTCTCGCTCACGGCGCGCGCCGTCGGCCTCGGGAAGAAGTAGCCGCGCTCGACGTACCCACCGTGGCCGCCGTAGATGGAATGAAGCAGTCCGGAGTACTCGGCGATGTCGTGTTGCGCCAGCACCGACAGACCGAAATAGACCGCCAGACGATGCATGAAGAGACGCTTCGGGCCGTCGGCCTTCACGGCCGCATCGCTCAGGACCACGGAACGCACGTAGCTCGACGGCCCGTCGGCGACGGCCACGCCGCTGATCAGACTCGGCAGCGCAGAGCGGCCAGGATGCAAGAGCCACGACAGCAGCGTGAACATGGGCACGTCTCGCACCGGCGCCGGCAGCTGGTCGCCGTGGTGGTAGCTCAGCAGGCGACGCCGTGGCCGCGGGCTCACCGCAGGCAGTCGCTCGCCGATGACGCGCGGCGTAGGCACAGGCGCAGGCGGTTGCACGGACGGCCCAGGCATGCAGCTCGCCAACGACGGGTCCATCTCGAGCATGCGCTTCTTGAATCGAAGGTGCGTCGTCGACGCCTGAGAAGGGTCCTTCAACTTCGCTTCAACGTGAGTGTTCCGCGCGCGCGCGTTCCAAAAAAAGCAACCACGCTTCGAGACCGCTCCGAGAGATGATTGCTCCTCCAAAAATCAGCCGAAACGAGTGGAAAACGACTGCGATATGAGCCTTTGAAGTTGGGAATTTCGCACTGGTCGACACGAGCGACCCCGTCTCGACGCCGGCGATGATCTCCAAAGCTGCGACGGCCATCTCCGCACGTGTCGTCTGGTCCTCGATGGACAGCTCGTGGAAGCCCACGCCGCAATTGCCGAAGCGCGCCATCTGGTCGCCGAAGATCCGCGCGACGTCCGCCTGGAGGCCCACGAGGTCACCGCTCGCGAAGTCCGTCTGCTGGTTCGCGCCGCCGCTCTTCAAGAAGCCCACGAAGGTCGCCATGTAGATGGGCTCGC